TTGGGGCCAGGGCTTCGCAGAGAAAGAGGGGGACGCTACAGCCTGGGGCCAACTGGCCTTCTCTGTAGTTTGGAGAGAGAGTCTTGGGCAAGCATCCTGTTCTAGGATTTGTAATTGGGGAGTGGGCAGAGTCAGAGGTTCAGAGCTGAGGAACACACACACACACACACACACACACACACACACACACACACACATTTGTGCAGGTTTGGTCTTAGTGCTTCCAGAATGACATAATGGACCTGGAGATGATCCAGAGAAGGGCCACTCTATAATCAAGGGGATGGAGGAGGGTGGAGGGGACTGCCATATGAAGATAGATTAAACAAACCCTGACTCTTTAGTCTAGAAAGATGAAGGCTAGGAAGGGATGTGACCAGAATGTATAAAATTATGCAGAGATGGAGAGAGGGAACACAGCCTTATTCACCACATTTGAGAATTCTAGAACCAACAGCACCCAAGAGCTAGAAGGAGATTCAGCTAAAACAAATCTGGCTCTGTATCAACTCCCCAGTTGTGCTTTTGTTGAAGGAGTTTTTATGTCAAATATCTCATTTTCTCATATTAGCAGCCATGCAAGGCAGAAAGAAGAGGTATCAAGAACCTCATTTTACAGATGAAGAACCTGAGTCTCAGAGAAGGGATGAAAATTTCCTGTAGTCACTCAGCTAGTAAGTGGCAGAGGTGGGATTTGAACCCAGATGTGTTAGACTCCCAGGTCAGTGCTCCTCCCACTATGGCAGCTGAAAAGTAATATCACTGTAGATGCCATATTGAAAACCTAAGGAATTCATAAGCCCCAAGAGGTGCAACAGGATGAAAACACAAGTAGCTTTGGAAAGAGTGAAAAAGTCATGGCTGAGAGATCCACTGGGGATTGCTAAGGGAAACTGGGGGTGACGTGGGAATATCTTTGATCTTGGAGGACAGCCAAGTCCCTCCCAACCTGTCTTTCCAAACCCCATTAGGATATTGGGCTGGAAGCACTATGTTTTTAGCCCAGAAGGGTGGTGCTGGTGTCCTCTAAAACAGCGGCAGAACAGGATGAGTCTTCTTAGGAGTGCCCCAAGACATCTGCCTGGTGGCCGAGGGAAGAAGAAGGTGAAGAAGGGGTAACAATGGATGCCAGCTCCTTCTAGAAACTCAGCCTCGTGCATCCCAGGGAACTGACCTGTTTGAAGGCACCCATTCCATCACAGTGAGAGCTGCCAGGTTCCACTTGCCAGGCCTCCTTCCAACCACCTGCCCCTGATGATTGCTGCAGTCCTGTCTCCATGACACCCTCCCCCCCCCGCCCCGAAACGTGCAAA